CAAGATAGAGGAGAGCAGGAGGCAGGGTTACCAATCTACTCGCACTGGAGAGCAGGGTTCGCTGCTTTTAGATGTTGTCGCCAAAGTCTCCAGTAGCAGAAAAAAGTTGCTATATGGCACTGGACTCTTTTTTGAAACAAAAGTGCTAGACGAGTCGGAAAAGTGGCTAAATATAGCGAAAAAAGTGCTAAGTTGGCAACACTGCTCTTTGCATGGTTTGTTTTCAAATGGTTTGCTGCTGTCTGTTTGGACCTTTCTGAACATGTGCAGCAAATGGACTGATCCAATATGGTGGACACTGAGGGGGGGGGCTGAGACACACTTAATATTATCAGCGTTCTGATGGCATTTTAGCCAAAAACATCATTAATGTGCAGAAATAAGGAATAGTTGTATTAACCATACATGGAAACAGAGTTTTATGGGGCCCCCAGTAACTTGGGGCCCCCATGAACTTGGACAGACTGAGCTGCCCTGTTAGGATGAATGAAGATGAGTTGGACTGAGGATGAATCTAGAAGCTGCAGGACGCCGGCCCACCCCCGCCCCTCACGCTGCTTCCTGTTTTCTCTGATGTTTGAAGTATTTTTCTCCTCTAGGTGGCGCCAGACTTCTTTGAGTATTTCCGGGCCCTGCTGCCGGTCCTGAGATCCGACCCCAGCCTGTGGTGCGTGTCAGCCTGGAATGACAACGGCAGGGACGGATACGTGGACCCCGGCAGGGCCGACCTCCTCTACCGCACCGACTTCTTCCCCGGCCTGGGCTGGATGCTCCTCAGGGAGGCCTGGGAGGAGCTGGAGCCCAAGTGGCCCGCCTCCTTCTGGGACGACTGGATGCGTCAGCCGGAGCAGCGGCGTGGCCGCGCCTGCGTACGGCCGGAGATCTCCCGGACGTTGACCTTCGGCCGGCAGGGGGTCAGCCTGGGCCAGTTCTACGATAAATACCTGAAATACATCAAGCTGAACTCTGAGTTTGTGCCTTTCACCAAGCTGGACCTGACCTACCTGAGGGAGGAGGCCTACAGGAGGAGCTTCAGCCAGGAGGTGTACAGCGCTCCTGCGGTGACGTATGAAGACGTGAAGCAGGGCCAGCTGAAGGGCCCGGGGCCTTTCCGCCTTCAGTACTCCACCAAGGACAGCTTCAAGGTCATGGCCAAAAACCTGGGAATCATGGACGACCTGAAGTCTGGGGTTCCAAGGACGGGCTACAGAGGGGTGGTCAGCTTCTTCTACCGAGGGCGGCGGATCCACTTGGCTCCGCCTCCTGGATGGAGCCAGTATGACCCCACGTGGAGCTGAGGTTCCACAGCAGCGGCCTTCTCACACATTCCACGCCAAAGATCTCCGGCCTTAATGAGGAAACGGCCAAATCTACTCAGGTTCTGCAGCTGAACATAGATCTACGGCAGATCTCCAGATGTCTATTTTTCTATGATCCTGATTGTTTTCTTTACATCCATGAATCCGATGCATCAGCCGACTTTGCCTTACTGAGTTTCAGAGCAAATCCTGAGAATGAGCAACCCCCCCCCCCCCCCCATCATCCATGAAATAATCTGCTCTTCCTGCTTATAGTCTGTCTGTCAGATGATTCTGTGTGGAATATTTCTTGCTTTGGAATCACTGTGGGGAATTGTATGTTTTTATTGAATAAAAACAAACAGAATGTTTCCAGTTTTGGTCATAATCCAGCTCCATCTCACACCCAGATTACCACCAACTGTTTTCTTATCCATGACATTCTCCATATATACATCGCAGGTGTCTTATAATCCATTTTTTTATTTTTTATTTCAGGGGTTTTAATTAAATTATGTCAATTTAGTCGCTAAGATTTCCTCTCAAGCATCCAGTTCATTAAACCGTCAGTGTTTGATTCCCACAGTGAGTCCTTAGTTTGGGCGGCCGAGGAGATGAGAGCAGCTGCTGAGGAAATGTTTGAGGTTACGTTAACAAAGTGATGAACAAAGCTAAGCTATGCTAACTGGCTTTCCTGGACGGGGCCGCCTGTGGAGCTGGTTG